TTACTATATTAAATATTTATTTTCTGTTTTTTAATATCTTTTAATCATTTGTTATAATTATTTATTGTTTCTAATAAATAATATGTCATCGTATATTATTCATGTTACTATTTTAATAATATTCTTAATAAATTATATTTAATTATTTTAAAATTGAAATGAATATTTTTATAATAAAATTTAATAATTTTTTGTTAAAATGTGATTATAACATCATTCTAAAAAAACAATGTAACAACATGAAATAAGTAAAGCGGATAAAGAGACGTGAGAAAAAATGGAAACAATAAAAAAAAAAACATTATCTTTATAAGAAAGAGAGGAAGCAATCTTTATATTGTCTAATTATCTCCAAACGAAAAGGAGATTATATTTTTCTAAAGAGTAATGTCAAACCTTGAGTCTCGATATTTTTGCATTATTGTCTATCTTGTCCCCAACAATCCCGAAGAAGATGATTCTTTTGTTTCATCCTTTTTGGTTTCAAGAATATGTCTTCCGATTGGATTTAAGATTGATCATTGATTTAGTTGTGTGACAGTAAGTTATATTATATAATCATGAAACTCAAAGAAATAGGGAAGATCACAGGCAACGATATAAACCAGGTCATTAACTAGTTCAAGAAGCTCCATCCCAACAAAGTGGGGAAGATCACGTTCCCTAATCTCTTGGAAAATCATTTGTGAATCTGCTTTTAGTTTTCTTTCCCTTAAAATCTTTTCTTTATTTCGGAATCAAAGATATAATACAAACATAAGAAGCGTAGTCACAAATAAATGTAGGGAGGATTTGCAATATAGAAGCGGGAAAAGTAGATGTAAAGTTCTCTTCTTCTTTTTTTTACTTGAATTCTCGATATATAGAACGGTGTATATGGTATACGTTTTTTTTATACAACTTACATAGGTTACATATATATATATATATATATATATATATATATATATATGTATTGAAAAAAAAAGGATATTAATTAATATCTTTCTATAAATCTAAAACGAAATCCATGATATCTTATAATATCATAGATATTTAAACTCCATACTTATTAGAAAAATTATTTTCATAAATATCATTTATTTAAATTTTATTTTAAAAAATGACAAATCTTTAAGATATTAAATATTTATTTTCTGTTTTTATATCTTTTAAATACTTGTTGTAATTATTTTATTGTTTCTAATAATAATATATCATTGTATATTATTTATATTGATATTTAATAATATCCATAACAAATTATATTTAATTATTTTAAAATTAAAATGAACATTTTTTATAATAAATTTAATAAATTTTTGGATGTGATCTACCCCATCACTCTCCAAAAAAAAAGGTAAAAAAATTAAATAAGTAAAGCAAACAAACAAATACGAAGAAACGGAAACGTTAAAAAAAATCATTACCTTTATTTTATATTTAGTTTTATGTTGATTAAAATTGAATGTAAACCGATTAAATCCTCAACAAGAACGAGAAGAAGAAATCATGATTGTGTCTAATTCTCTTGAAACGAAGTTCCAAACAAGAACTATGAATTCGAGCTAAATACAAACCGGTTGTTGTATGGGCTTGGGCTAAATTGCTTTCCGGCTCAATTATACTAAATGGGCTTTGAGAGTAGATCCTTTCATCTTTCTCAAAAGTGGCCGACCAAAAAAAATTCCGAACCGCTACATTGCTATTAGATAATAAAACCGGTTATATCGGTATAATTCGGTTTAGATAACTTTATTTTTTTTGATACATTGGGAACCCCGGCTGCTACCCTTCGGACGCGCTGACCGAGTAAACTCAAACCCACACGCACGAACCTGCAACACACGTGTGTGAGGTAAATCAGCCGTAACTGACAGACGATAGGTGAGCGGCCAAGGAGTCGAACCCCCAACCTCTCGGTATGTTGACCATGCTCCTTGTCAACTCACCATGCATTCATAAACTCTATTTTTGTTTAACCCAAGTCATTCACAAATCTGTTTTGTAGTATTTAATAAGCACAAAATGAGGGGAGAAATTTTGAAAATAGATTTAATGACTTTTAACTATATGTATAAATAGTAAATACACCCTAAAATGGAGTAAAAATGGTAAAAAAAAAGTGGAAGTTGAAATCTGTACAGAAAGAGAAAGGAGTTCCATGGCAATTAGATATGGATATTCCAGATTTTGGGTTAATTTCGTGGTTATTTTGGTTTTATAATAAACTATATTTAGTCGGTTTTATTTCGCTCAATATTCAATTTAGATTCAGCTTTTTTTTAATAAAAATGCTATCTTCTAAATATAATTTCATTTTTCCGCATCTATTTGTTATTTTAAAATTTTATTCGAATTCTGTTGATTTAACTTTTGAAACATTATACCCAATCCATTTTTTTACTTTGTATTCAATTTATGGTTACATATATTATTTGATTCATTTCAATTTGATTTACTTAGCCAGAATCCCTACCTTGATTTCACCATTCACTCAACGATTTTTTTTATATATATAAATATAGTAGAGATACATACATGATTGAAATTCGTGTACATAAACAATGTATACGTATAAACGATGCATTTGTTTTAGATATTTCACAATATGCCCACAGAATTCATAGTAGAACAGTTAGAAAACTATGTGTCACTCATTGGAAATGGATCGATTTATGGAACAGTCACCGAGGAGCCGACTTCTCTGCAACTAAGTTCACGGGATTTACGTATCAAATACATCTACAATGCATGACATACGTACATACATATTATATTATTTATATACGTATACGTATACATTCATATATGACATAACATGAATGTATTATATATGATTCATCTTACATGGTATATGTACATGTATATGACCAGAGATGAGTTTGTTCTTTTACTACTATCTAGAAACTGATAATGTATGTTAACCCTGAAATATGTACAGATGAATTTAGATTGGATTCCATTTCTCACCGTTAGAAGATACATAGTGATCACGCATACATCGCAATTCGAGAGAGAGAGAGAGAGAGAGAGAGAGAGAGAGAGAGAGAGAGAGAGAGAGAGAGAGAAAGAGAGACAGGGAATGTGTGATTCTATTTTAGCATTGGATGATCGGCCGTCGTTATTGTTTCATCTAATTTGTCAATTCCAAGATTTCATGTCCATGTCCAATCATTCTGAACACTCCATTCCCCATACACATGTACACACACACACACACACTACATATATATATGTATTATATATATATATGCCTGTTCAACACATGCACATACACATGTGCACCACGATGCACCTCGTGCGAAGATAATTTGCATATCGCAAATAGATAAAAAGGATTTCGATGTTGTATGTTTTTTTTGTAACGATTTGTTGTATGGTAATTTTATTTTCTTTGTTCTTGATTGTTATAATTATTCTCAAGATTAATATCGAAAGACAAAAAAATCGCGTGATTTTTAAGAATTACAATTACTATCACTGGACTAATTGTACAACTTATAAAGAGAGCCGGTTCTTGTACCTAAGCAGCATATACTTACATACCCCGCGTGCATGCACGCGCAAGTATATTCGCTACCATACATCCATAAATATATATACACATATATGTATATATGTATACACGTGTGTGTATATGAAAGAAAGGGGAACCCACAAATTAGGTATGTGATATCACTTTTATGAAGTGCATGCATGTATGATGATGGGGAGTACTATATGGACTTGGTCCATAATAAGGGGTAAACTAACATTTATGCTTTTTTTATATATGTTTTTGCCCATACATGTCGCACACGTAGTATACATATTTTCATATACATGGACACACACACATATATATATATATTTCTTATATACATGTATATATGTATAGTTCTGTTTTGTCTCCTGGTAGCCGGTTTTGTGCATGGAAAACGGTTTCCCCATAGCAGCTATTTAAAAAAAATAAAAATAATAATGATAAAATAAATTAATGATGAAGTTTACTTGTGTCAGCATATAACAAAGATAATACTATATTAAGAATTCTCTGACCGATTCCGCGAAATCCGTAGAATTATCTAAAACTAACTTTCAGTAATTTATGTCATGGGCTTGATGTCACGTGCTCAGAGGGCGTGGGTGTCACGTGACATTGTTGTCCACTCTCCACGGTGGCGAGCGATTAACCTAATCTCTTGGCATACTCAGATGCTATCGACCAATCCAAACGAAGGATTCCGCCACGTCAACTGTTGATATTTGATGAAGACTAATCATCGTGCGCCACGTGTACAATACATTTATTGCTCCAATGCCCAAGACAGGGTCATCAATCGTTTTAAAAAGACACATGTTCGAGAATAATTTCATTAATTTTATATTCAGCTAAAATTTCTACCAAATATATTAATGTAACGTTTCCTGAATAACAGTGTTATGTATTAGAGCAAATTCAACAAATTAACTATTTTTTAAATGATTTTACTTTTTAACTTTTCACTTCCATGTATTTTTTTTCTACACATACCCTGGCTAACTTTACGAATGAAACAAGATTATTTTTTAAAATTTCTGGGTATATTACTATAAAATGAATTCGTTATGTCGATATAATAATACGATCTTCTTCAGAATTGAATTCATAATTGTATTGCCATATCAGGATAAAAAAACACAAGGAACGATATGTATACACATGCTGCTGCGAACACGCGGAGACGCGTCCACGTGGCGATCATTGAAGCGGGTCTCACACAATTATGGGCCCCACATCTTTTTTTTTTTTCAATTTCACTTTTACTACTGTGTATATATATATATATATAATTATTTTTATCATATTTTCCTTCGTTATGGAGCGGCCTTTTTTTTCATATTTTTTTTGCATCTATAAATACCTTCCCCTTCATCTCCTATCCTTAAGCTCTCTCCATCTCTGTAACAGTCTTGTTTTCGCAAATAAGTAGACGAAGAAGAAGAAGATGATGAACAGACAAGCACAATCCATTTATAACATCCAGGACTGTACGGACATGGCGGTCTTCGAGCACCAAACTGCCCATCCGACAAACGGCCGCGACCTGCTTCTGCACGAGCAGACCGTTTATCATCCCGATTTCGCCGGAAATTTCTCCGGCTACTTTCCCGACCCTCTGTTCACCAACTCCGGCACCTGCGCCTACGACGAGGGCTGGCTGATGGCTATGGCCGGGTCACTCGAGCCCAACCCGTGTCTGAGAACCGCGTGGCCGAGTTCTGGACTCGGACTCCGGTTAGGGTTCAGGCTCGGAGTCTCAACGGAGAAGATGAGCGGGCCCGGGAGTTTCAAGAAGAGGAAGGTTACACAGCCAAGAATTAATACTCTGTTTTCATGCACTCGGTTTCATTCTGCTAATATCAGAAAGCTTGGAAAATTCATGTTCTGTGAACTGATTTGCATGTTTCTTGATTTGACTAGGGAGTTGATAACGTGGAGGAAGATCCTAAGGAGGAGGAGAAGAAGAAGATGAGAGTGAATGAAGAAGAAAGCGAAGAGAAATCGAAGATGAACTACAAACCCAAGAAGGAAAGTTCCTCGAACAGTTCTTCAAATGACGATTCAAAGGATTTCATTCGTGTTCGTGCACGGAGAGGGCAAGCCACTGATAGTCACAGTGTAGCAGAAAGAGTAAGAACACAAAAAGATTCTTCTTTTTTTCGATGCTTAATTATTTCCTGAGATCGTGAACCGATGTTTTTGGCGGGTTTCGTGTGTAGATGAGAAGAGAAAAGATCAGCGAGAGGATGAAGTTTCTGCAAGGTTTGGTCCCTGGATGCCGCAAAATTACCGGGAAAGTCGGAATGCTTGATGAGATCATAAACTATGTTCAGTCGCTTGAGCGGCAAGTCGAGGTCTTAAATTTGTCCAAAAAGCTTCAAGTTTCATATATACATACATATATATATCGGCTATTTTCGAGTATATATATTTTCTCTGATCATATCTACAATGTGCTAACAATCTCTCAAAAAACGCAGTTCTTGATGATGAAATGGATATTATCATATATTTTCGAGTATATATATTTTCTCTGATCTTATCTACAATGTGCTAACAATCTCTCAAAAAACGCAGTTCTTGATGATGAAATGGGCTGCTTTGAATCCAAATCCAAGTCCTGAGTTCAGCTTCGAAGAATCTTTCACCAACGAGGTTGTTAACACAGCTTTACATATATATATATATATATATATATATATATGTCGCTATATATATACATAGATATATAGGTAGATAGTTTTTGTGGAACATGTCAGGTAGAACAATCGGTAACTGCATGCATGAATTTATAAACACGATTCTGACGTTGGAACAATGTTCTTTCGGATCAATGACAGGACGATCCGTGCATGATGATACCGACTTCTGAGATCATTCCTTCCGGATTCGATGATCAGTTAAGTCCAACGCAACAAGCGGTTTCATGGTCAGACGGAACTGACGCAGTCTTAACTTCCAGTTCCGATGTTGTCCGAACCACGGACCGTCTGTTATGCATCACCGACACCCTCATCAGCCCTGCATCTGAAAACGTTCGTAAAATATTTGTTCATCGTTTCGTTATATTACGATATCGGTTATTTGAATGATTCTTCGTTTGTTTATTTTTAAAATTAATGATTCTCATGCAGAATGGTGAAGCTCTTTCGACGTTGGAATCTGATATGAAGGATCTTTATACTTTAGAATTTCATTATGATCAAACACCTTTAACGCCATTCGCTTCGCAATCACACACTGGTACGTAAATGTGGATGGAATCTTACTATATATATATATAACATATATTATTTTCAATGTGTGTGTATGTATGTATGTATGTATGTATGTATGTATGTGTATATATATCCGAATCTGTATAAAATTACTGATTTGAAATTTGGACTCTGCAGGTTCTACGAGCACAACTTGAATTAAAATGGAGAAGCGAGTCACATGATATTTTAGCAACAGAGATAAAACATAGTTTTGATTGTATAATTGTAAGAGAGTAATATATATATATATATGTGGAGAGAGCGTAATATCCGTATCCACGATTCGGTTTTCTCGGATGAAGAAGCTATCTTCAAAGGTTATGACCAAATCTTGAGGCGATTGGCAAGACAAGCCGAATATAGCATCGGTAATCTTAAAGAGAGTTTGGATAATCGTCACTGTATTGGTTTTGGTTTTGGTTTTGGTTTTTCACCGCCTTGCTAGCTTTCCACTTCTTCGGAAACTTTTGTTAATCACTAGATCTTAGACGATTCCGGTCTCAAGGTTATTTGATTTGAATGTTATCTAATGGTTGCAAATTGTTGTCAACAAGAGCCGCAAATTCGTTTTTAGAGATATATATTGCAATTATATTTTTGCAATTAGAAGCCAAGAATTCCAACATAAATAAACCAAAAACAAAAAAAACAAAGGAGAAAACGATTGTGCATCAATATAAATTGAAATAATACGTCGAAGTAATTCATCGGTATGTTGTGACGGAGAAAGGGTGAAATGTAATTTACCATATCATATAAGAAATTCGAGCTCTGTCATAAAAATGGTGGAAAATCAATTTACACCATTATTATTATTATTATTATTATTAGAGATATATTGGACCGTGAATATAAGTTATAAAAAAAACAATATTGTGGGATCATTTAGTTCCCACGTTAATAGCATCACAAAATAAGTGAATTATGTAAAATGATTTTAAAATGATATTACTGTCATATTCAGTATACCCGTCATCGTCATTGCCTTCAACTTCTGTCTGACCCACCATTGTTATTAAATATTATTATAACGTTCAAGTGTCCAACGAAAATTTACGCAATGTGTTATAAATTTCGAAAGAATTCACATTTCTGCATGCTAAGAATACATTGAATTCTTAGGCTACAGATTTACAGCCTTTCATCTTTGATTTAAACTCCGTTTGCTTTCTTTCTCATAGCTTTTTTACCTGCCTCGTATGTAAAAAAAAACGTGACTTCCACAACTTTTTCATTGGAAGGAATGGTAAATTCAGTTAAATTATAGTTCTCTTCTGCTTCAAAACTGGACCATTCTACTTCCTCGGTGGCGGGAAGAGACTAGGAAACTGGTTTTGGTTTTATTTTATTTTTTGGTCGAGAAGTAAAAATGGTTAATTATTTTAATTGCGGCTATGGGAGACATGTAATCTCTGTTGAGAAAAAAAAAAGAGAGTGAACAAGGATGGATCAAAAATATCAAGTCTTAGGTTTAAAGCCTAAAAAAAGGGGACCAAGCATCTAAAAAGCACGAGGCAAGAATTCAGAGACAAACATTCTTTCAAGACAGAAACAGAGGAACAAGAGACTTAGTTGTGAGTTGCCCTGGTGTAGATCTGCTGGCTTGAATGAGCAGAGACCATCCTGATCGACCCCCGAGCCATCAGTTCTCTTATCGCTTTCCTTGCGAGCGATCCATTGATCTGGTTCACGTGAAACTTTCCGTCATGCAGCCAGCAAACGTCGATAAACATGACAAGTTCCAAACATACGCATTCAGAGCGCCAAATGAATCGAAAATCAGACAAGTGCCGATGAACCAGCCACGGCTATCGAGATCCTAATCTGGAATTATCGAGTAAACCCTCCTAAGCTAGAACCAAAACACAAAGGATCAATTCCTAAAACCTTAAAAGCACTGTATCATTAGGGCATTCGACACAATGGATTGGATAATCGATCAGACATGATACTTATTACAAAAAAGAAAGATCCGAACTTTATCGGTGAGTCATATGAACTCCATTGAAGACCCACCACTAAATTAGCCAAAGAGAAGCACATTGATTTAGAGCTCGTTTCACAACCTATCCCTAAGAAACCGTATTAAAGGCTACCGAGATCTAAACCCGAAATCATCGAGCAAACCCTTCAATGATAAAACCAAATCACTAAAACGCTATATCATCCGAACACTCAACACAATGGAATGCACAATCATAAAGGGTTTTAGTTACAGAAAAAGATCGAAAATTTAAAGTTAAAGGAGCAAAAGATAAGTACCCTCAAACGATCAGAGAGAATAGAAGGAGTGATCAGTTTGAATTTGGGAGCCTCAGACAAAAGCTTGTCGTAAGTTGCCTGGTCGAACAGAACCATGTTGTTCACCTTCTCCTTCTGCTTTCCCTTGCTCCACTTCTGTTCATCCAAACGACAAAACAAACAAAACCTAAAGCCACAGATTCCGTCGGAAACAGCAAAAGAGCCAAATCTGATCTATACCCACATCAAATCAACCCATATACAAACTTGAAATCTAATCATACGTCCGAATATGCGTAAATGCGACACATGAGTTAGGATTTGAGGAAGGGACCTTCTTCTTCTGCTTGCCTCCGCCGGATTTGGCGGGCTTAGATGACGGCGGCGGAGCTTTGTCCTTCTTCGGTGCCTATAGTTACGCGGACGAAACCCTAATTAGATCACCACAGAGAGAGAGAGAGAGAGAGAACACAGAGGCGGAGTGATAGAGCACTTACCATTGGATCTGAACAAGTGAGGAGCGGCGCGTTTACAGAGAAGAAGCTCGAACCAGAAAAATACCAAAACCCTAATGTCGTATGCCGACAGGACAGGTAAACCGATTTTTTTTTTTTTGTTACGAAGGCATATAACATAATAAATATACCACCTGCTTTATCAAAACATTTAAAAACACCCCAATATTTTGATTTTATACAAAAACACCCCCATTAGGATTAAAAACGGATGGATTTGCTCGGTATTTGGATAGTTTTCGATAGAACGGTATCAGAAACATTGATTAAATCATATATTCATGGATTCTGTAATCTTGGTTGAAAGCAATCAAACCAAAATCCAAAACTTTTGAATTATGATTTCAGAAATACATTCTACAAGAAGCAGAAAATTAGAACATATAGGAGAATAAAACAACTAATGAATCTTGAAAAAAACTCCCAAGTGAGTTGATTGACAACTAAACCTTTTAATTTGGAGTTTCGAATTCTTCTATTTTATTCATCATGAGCCTGATACATATAGATAACCTAAACTGATTTGCATCTTTTGTATGGTTTGCAGACTATTTTACGAGAGTGAGGGTTTATTCAGAACGCATCCGAAATGAAATGTAATGACTATGGATTCCCACATTATCAAAAAAAGAAAACAACAAAAACCAGTGAATCTCAATTTATCTTGAAAATGAATAAAAGTATTATATACGAAGAATTCTTGATAGACCAAAATGGATAATACGTCGAAGAAAATAGTTTCAAACCGAAATGGATTTTGCTGTTTCTAGAGAAAAAAAAATTAACTTTTTTTTGTAACCGATAGGTTTATTGAGTCTTAGAACCAATTAATCCCATATCAAAATTCAAACTATTATCCGAGATAAATTTTTATTTATCTAAGTATTTTTATTTACCTAAACAGTTCTCTTCATATTTGGATTCGGGGTAATATCATATTTTGTATGTCTCTTATTGTCCAATCATCAAAAATTGGGTAAAGAAAAAAATAAAAAAAATAACTAACTTGTTTAATACCATAATTCAAGAACTTTCAAAATATGTTCACACATTATGAACAACCCTCTTTACTACTATATATTATATCTATATACAAAAAAATTAGTGGATAGTTTTTATATCATACCATATAGTAGAGTATAGATCAAAATCAATAAATAATGGGAGATATGACAAATGTTAATGATTAATTTCTTAAAATATATCTGTAACATTGATAAGATTTATCATCATCTTAATCTAATCAGATGGTTCAAAACTACAACCGAAACACTCAAGAATTAAGTAGTGGGCTTTACGATTCCGAATCCAAAATCTCCAATGTTAAAGTCTTACGACCAAAGACCAAGTTATGAAATTTGGAAATCATAATCCGAATTATACCCTACAGATTCTCAAAACCAAAATACACAAGGCATGAATGCGGAAGTAATATTGAATCCAAAAGGTGAGACTTTATGCTAAAAGTTGGAAACTTTAGAATTGAAGGAGCAAAAGAATCATGAATGTAGCTTAAATAATAAATTATATGAAATTTACATGTTTTATATATTCACAATATTTTTATTTTATTATCTTAGTGTATTGTGAAAAATATAAAAAACATAAGAAAAAGTTTAAATTTTTTGGTAGATTGTTTATATTTATGATTTATGAAAATAATAATAATAAAGAATAAGACGTGTTTAGAAGAAAAAATAGGTTGTAGGCTTGTAGCTTACTCATTGACTCCATTCAATTAAATACCTATGATTATTAAAAAAAAAGATTATTGGATAATTAGCGAGAGAGAAAAAAGAATCCAAGCTCACGTGTGACCTAATCAGCCTCCACTCCCCCAGAAAAAAAATGACGTTGAAAGCATTAGGATTTTATCCATTAATTAATTCGTAAAGCGTTCAACTCACGTCTCACGTTTTCTTCTGCTACGTCAATTTCGGTTTTCTTCCATGGATGAATTGAACGGTCCATTTTATTATATTTTTTTGGTATATAATAAGATCGCAATTAATCTAATTGGAACCATTCTTGATATCGAATAAATTCAGGTCTTCGTAGTGATAGATACCGAAATTTCGTAATGAATGATTACTTTACAATGGATGAAGTCACTAAATTTAGTTAGGATTCGGTTGCTGTTTGCCTTTGCAATTTAACTAGAACCATATATTTAAATAATCGGCGAAAAAGCCGCATAAGGGTATATATGACTTCTGTCTTTTTTGTTTTTATAATTTTTTTCTTATACACCAAAAGGCAAAAACTGGATAATATAAAGAAATTCGGGGACCCATGTCAACTTAACAATATATATATACATATATATATATGTGTGTGTGTGTGTGTGTGAACAATGTTATAGACAATTCCACAAAATCTCGTCTACAATTTCTGAAAAAATGTATAAGCTGCGAAAATACTGTTTATTTTGTTTATAAAAAAAGAAAATGTTGTTTATTTTTATTTGTTTATATTGTATATATTAGAAGAAAATAATCTATGAATTTTTGGATAGAATTAAAAAAATTTCATAGTTTTTATTTAACAATTTTCATTTGGGTGGGAAAACGGTTCAATTGTTTTAAAAACCGAACCGAATCGAACTAAATTATAATTGAGTTAAACCGAACATACTACAATTAAATAACCGTTTGGTTATGTATTATCAAAACTTGAAATAATCGAACTCGAATTAATCGTAACAAAAAAACTAAACCGAATTATCCGTAACCAAAAACCGAATTGTTTGTTCATTTAGTTTATAACTATATATTGTATATAATTAAATTGAGTTTTTTACTCTCTTTTTTCTACAATGATGTATTGAAATTTGTTTCATTTACTATTATGATTGGTTATTGTTTGATTACAGTTTTAATTAGATATTACTGGACCAAAACGAACAAAATCGATCCGATTAAAATCAAATAACGAATTGGTTATTAATAAGATTCAAAATAACCGAATTCAAATTAATTGTAACCAAATGGAACCATCCGCCCACCCCTGAATTTTCCTCGAAAGAAATCACTATATACGTACTTCTTCGGTTTTTTACAAAAAAAAAAAATGTGAATGTTATCAAAATTTTTTTTGTTAATCTGAAGATTCACATGGATTTTCGGCATAAACTACATCATCTTCTGGATCCAGAAACAACCTTTGTACAGCATTTAATTGCACATTCCCTCCCCATATGCGAAATCGAACGCTTGATCTGAAGGACCTTTAGTACAACCTGATAGCCATTCAACCATAAATATATGGAGTCGAAATAATTGATTTTTAAAAAAAAAATTATCCTTGACTTTCCCGCTTTTTTCAAATTTGACTATTAACATTGCAAATCAATCACACCGATGGCGCCAACACATGATAATAGCATGACTCGGAAACAAAGTTAAAAAAAAAAAAAGAAAGAGGAGAGTTAATTGCTTTTATTTTGGAAGGTGGGTCTATGAGATAACACACATACGCACAAAGTTAATAAAGGTGGCAAATTATTAAAGATTGTGGGGAAAAAATGAAGAAAAAAGAGAGCATAATGTACGAGTGTCTATGTCTTAGTGAAGAAGGAAATCACTTTCATTGTGTTACACATTGCCAAGTGGATTATTATTGTTATTATTAACTAGCTAGAGCTCAAAATCATCGTATAATATTCGATCATGTTCGCCTCTTACACATGTAACGTAAGTGTGTGACATGTCTTCCAACTCCATCGGACAAAATGTGTATGAAATTGGTATGCATATTTAAGTTTCATATATGACCATGTTAGATATTTTTTTTTATAATCCAAAATTTATTGGCGTTCGATCTAACAATATCTACTAGAGAATTGGAGAACTTCAGGTGAATACTCTTTTTATAGATAGAAACTTGGATTATTATAACCTTAACAATATTTTTGTCACAAAGGTAAATAACATACATAGTAAGTAGATTTTCAAATGGATAACTAATTTGAATTTCCATTCATAATATTGGATTATTAAAAAATTATATATTATAATGTTGGGACTAAATTTATTAAGTGGTTCATTTTTTTTTTTTGGGGAAAAGAGAGAAATGTGATTAGCGGATTTATTTTCTTTTGAATGTCAAAATTATAGGTTATAGTTCAAGCGACATTTATTATCTTATTGAATTGTATACATCATGGATATATTCTTCCACCCCATTGTCTACCATTCATCATGGCAATATTATTCCACCTCGAGACTTATCTTGAATATTTCCACATGAAGTTTTCTTAATTCATTTTTATTGAAAACATGAGTATCTAGATTTAAATTTCATTGTAGGTTCGTGAAGTTCGATGATATTAATAACATTCGACAAGAAAAAAAAAACTATTGTGAATTAAAAAATCACCTAAATCATAAATAGATCATGACAAATCTATTTTTTTTATATATATTCAAAATCAAGAAAAATAATTCAATGTAGATTGATTAAAAACTTTTTTTAGTATGGATATAAAATTTAAACAAATCTCAATGTTCATAAATTTCTTGTATGATAAACCCCAACTACTATGTAATCCATAATAAAGAATGTGTGTGTGTGTGTGTATGCATATTATGTATATTACAAATTATTTATCCATATATATAAATATATACCATTTTGAAAAACATGAGGTCAAGTTTATGTATTTCAGTAACTGAGATAAATCAAGATGAATTAAACATTAAAAATCAATTAAATAATAAATGTAATATATTAAAAAGATATTGCATGGAATGTGTAGATGGATATGGGCATGGAAAAAATTGCAATTAACCACATTGGAAACAGTGAGAATAATACTTGAGAATATAACAGCAATAATGCTGTTCATAAATACCACAACTTTTGCATATCTTTTTTTTTTTGAAAAAAAAAGTGTTCCCAAAAAATCTAAAATTGAAAGGAACAGGAACAACATTTATCTGTTTAATTTGATGTGCAATTTAAGAATATAAGAAAAAAAAATTTAAAATCTTACAAGCAATTACATAGTCTATAAATAGTGAACATAACCAACCAAACACTTGCAACAAACGAAACCGAACCTAAACACAAAAAAAAAAACAAAGGTAAAAAAAAAATAGATTGCTTTGTCTCGTTTCTTCTTCTCATCATCCACTATGAACATCATCGTTCCTCTGTTTTCTCTCTTGAGAGCAACACTTGCTGCTTCTCACTTCTTGTTTGAAAGGCTCGTCTCTTTTGAATGAACAAGGAAAAAAAAACCCTAGGCCGTTTTCATCTGAGTCAGATTCCTCTGTTTTCCGAGACATTTTCCCGATGGATTCGATTCAGTTTCACCACATAAAGTTGGAGAAATCGAGAAAAGTCGTGAGCTTTGTGCCGTTACGAGCCTTCGCGAGCTTTTTCCGGCTCATCGAGCTGCTTCTTCTTCTCGTCCTGATCTCGAACATGTTCTTCCGGTTTCCGGTGGCCGTAAAATTTTCCGGCGACGTTTTCAGGGAAGCCGCCGTGTTTCTCGTGAGCCCGAGATTCGTGTTCGTTCTCGGAAACGCGATAGTGATCATTCTCTTCGCGAAATCAGGGCGATACTCCGGTCAAGGTTCATCAGACACGACAGAAACCGCGGGTGTTTATCAAGAACTCGTACGGAAGAGC